AAATATGCATGTACATGCACCAAAAAACAGAGCACCAAAACAGATGAAGCAATAACCAAGAAGTGAAAGTAGAAACAGGCAAGTCTGCAGTTATAGTTGGGGACTTCAACCTTCCACTTGTGACAAATGACAGAACCATAGAACTACCACACAGAAATCAACAAGGGTGTGTAGAGGATTTCCTTCCACCGGTAAAGAGCACATATAACACACCCATGTCAAACATCATAAAAATGATAAAAGACCAAATACTTCAGCCCTAAGATCAGATAGAAGGTAAAGACACCCAACTCTTTCTCTGTTCTTATTCAACATAGTACCAGAAGTTCAAGCAACCACACGAGAGCAGACAAAAACACCTAGGATAAAGAGCATAGTTTGGAAAGGAAGGAGTGTGTGTGTGTGTGTGTGTGTGTGTGTGTGTGTGTGTGTGATATTTAAGACCAAACGTCCATTAGCATTTCTATATCCTGACAACAAACATTGAAATAAAGGCACAGTGCCATTGGCAATTGCTGCAAAGGTCCAGTACCATCTCACTGGCCATGTAGAAGGTCTCTCTCACGGCAAAGACAAAGGCCTGCTTTTAATAAGTTAGATTCCTTTGGGAACCCTCATGGCAGTTTAGAATTCCTCCCTTTTGCTACCTGAAATCCCAGGTTCTGCTCTCTCTCTGGTCTCCTTTGTCAAATCCTACAACACTCCATGAAGACCCAGGAAAGGCAGTGAGGCACCTCCTGTATCTCCATCTGGCAGCTCACTGAATTGTGGAACACATGTGGGAGTGAGGCGGTGCCTCCAGGACATGCACACAGCCAGCGTGTGTGCTCCTAGCTTCCTGGATGGTTTCCGATGGAGTTGACAGAACTGAGCTTACCCGGTACATACCTCTCCTGATGCAGATTAACAGCAAGAATACGAAGTGGCGATTAGTCCTCATTGCTGAGTGGCTCCAGCAGCCACATGGAGTGCCACACAGAGGGACAAGGTTCTCCTGTCAAAATGCACCAAGTACCAAAAATTGATGGCTCAACATCAAGCAATGACCATAAAGACTCCCCAAAAAATCTTCACACCAAAAACTTTAAACAACTCAATGAATGAGTGACCAAATAAATCAGGAAAAAAAAAACTCAAAAGAAGTACAAGTGACCAAGAAATAGATGAGAGAAGGATTAAGACATGTACAGCCCAAGTACCAAATCCCCATGGTAAATGTAGATAATCATCATGCACTGCAAACATGGTCTGATAAAAATAAAAATTTAAAAAGTATGCAACGCCTTTAGCATTAGAGAAGTACAGAACAAAATGACATTGAGATCCTATCTCACCCCATTTGGAATGGCTGTCATCAAAAATACAAAAAGCAGGGCTGGGGGACAGGGGGTTTAGCCCAGTGGTTCCACCACCTGCCTTGCAAGTATAAGGTGATGAGTTCCATCCCTGTTACCAAAAACAAAAAGAATACAAAAAGGCAATGAATGCTGGCAGAGATGCAGGGGAAAAGATATCCCTCTACATAGTCAGTAGAAATATAACCTAGTGTGACCACTAAGGAAGTCTGCATACAGACTCCTCAAAAAATCCAAAAGTAGATACATCATTGCATCCAGGTATAGCACTCCTTGGGACATTCCCAACAGATATCAAGACAGAATACTAATGTGATGCCATGTGTTCATGCTTGTAGCTGTGCAATTCACAATAGCTAAGCTGTGGAACCAGCTAAATATCTTTGAACAGTTGGACAGATGCAGAAAATGCAGTACACATACACAGTGGAACATTATGCAGGCATCAATAAGAACAAAATCACACCTTTTTCTCCAAAATAGATGGAACTGTAGACTATCCTCTTAAGTGAAATAAACCAGTCTCATAAAGAGGCACTGCATAGTTTCTCTTATAAAGGCAGCCTAAAATGAGTTTTGAAAATAATAAACAAACTAAAGAAGAGATGAAAGGAAGCTAGAAAGTAGACTTACAGAGACTAAGAAGATCAGGGCAGGACAGCAAAGGGGGAGGGGGAGCAACAGAGGTAACCAAAATAATTAAAATGGCACATACATTCACTAGTGCACCAAGACAACTCTCATTGTTCACATCTAGTGTGCCCCCACCTCCAAAAGGGCTCTGAGAGCACACACTCAGATGACAGAGAGCAGGAAGAGATCCTGGTTAGGAAAAGGAGGCAAAATCTATTTGCAAAATTAATGTTTATTCAGTTGGTTAGAAAGAAATCTGTGGAGCAACTTTCTGTGTGGCATGGCAGACCCAGCGGCTCTGGCATCTCAGAGGGATTTGAATTTTATCAGACCAGCTGGGGCTTGTTTTTAAGTCTGCGGAAAGACAGGCTGCTCTCAGACAGGAAGCAGGATAAGGGCACTGACAGCTGTCATTTTGCTCATGACCTTAGAGGACAGGAATGTTCACTGCTGAGCTGAACTGCTACAGCCAAGCTGAAAAAAATATGGAAGTTCAAGCCATTTATCTGCTTAGAGCCAGTTCTGACTTTTAAACGTCTTGTTGCCTTTGTTTTTGTCCTGAGAAAGAGCTTTCCTCTTCCCTGGGAGAAGCTTATGATCCCCTTTCAAGGCCCAAGGTCACACACAGCTGACTGATCTCAGTGCTCACAGCTTTTCAGAAGTGCTGAATTTCTCTCTTTTCTTCTTGAAAATTGATTATCCAAAGAAAGAAAGAAAGAAAGATCACCAGACACTGTGTTCCAGCATTTTTGTTTCTGAATTTCTTCTCACATGCATAAGCTAATCTGCCACAGATTCTCATGACCATGATTTGAATCTTCCCACCTCCTTGCAAAGCCAAGTGCCAACCTCTTAAACCTTCTGGACTCAGCCTGCCTGCCGGCCTTCCCCCCCTTGCCAGCCAAGTCATTGGTCCTAGGATACGTGAGTGACCTAGTCTTTTCCCTGTGTAGACCACTCTGGGTTCCTCATCCTCAGCTACCCTGCTTCACACATGGCCTGTGGACACCTGCCAGACTGCTGCTGTGGCTCCTTCCATGACAGGACAAGGACAGAGGTGGAGAGCAAGATTGTAGAAGGAATCCAGACAGGGCCCTTCCCTGACTGTGCAGCTGAAGACTTCCTCTTACCCTTTCCATCTTTGCAGGAACAGTATCCAGGAAGCCACAAGGACGCAGTCTCTAAATCCCAACACAGATAAATACATACCTTTCACCCCTGTGTCTTTCTTGGTACATTCACTTAAAGAGCTGGTGGCAATGCCAAATTCGGCAGGGATAAAATAAGACAAGTCCCCCTAACAAACGATGCCTACTCTGTCGATGGCTGTCATGGATTTCTGTGCATTGCCTTTTTGGACATTGACTGTTGTCCAAAACACTTTGTCTCCAAAGTGCGTGTGAGCAGAGGGAGAAATCAAAGACTGACATAGCTGAGATTAAACTGGATAGTGAGAGCTGAGACACACAGAGGTTCTGGAAACTTTTTCACCCTCTGGGGCTGCCAACGGGAACCTTCGTTTACTCTTCTAACCACAGGTCAGAGAGGAACTCTCAGTCCCACTAGAACCCAAGCTTTGTAGTGGAAGTTGGAAAATGCATATTGCGGAGCATTTTTGCTCTGGAATCCCCTGGAAGGTGGCCCCTGTTCTACCTCTGCCACACACCAGCTCCTCAGACTGGAGATGTGGAAGGAGGGGCTGGGGATGCAGAGGGCCCTGCTCTCCTGGGACTTTCCCTTGGGCCTTGCTCAGTCTCGCCTTCCAGCTCCTGTGGGCTGCTCATTAGGGAGATGAGGAGCAGAGCGACTAACCGATGTGGACTGTGATGGATGTAGATTATTTTTCAGGTGTTTGTAGGAAACTGAGATCGGAGGGGAAGGTGTGCACATCCTCAGAGCTGGCAAAGGGCACCCACAGCCATCCTCCAGGAAGAGCAGACCCCTGTGTCTCAAGCTATGTAATAAGCTGGGAACAGGCTGGCTGTGCCTTGTTGCTCATTAGGGCCAAATTGGCCCCAAAGTATCCCACTGAATGGACACCCTTCCGAGTCGCCAGGGTGCAGATCAGATTTCATGGAGCAGTAGGAGTAGGCCTTGGACATGTCTTGTCTGGTGTTCACATCAGGCCAGAGTCTCCTCGGCCACCCTAAGACCCCAGTGCTATAGAACAGTCTTTCTAGAGTCGGCCTGGTATCAGTTTTTCATTTGGGATAAACAGACTCCACCTGACTGAATTCTTCCACTCCGCACACCTGGCTTTGCTGATGATGATTGAATTCTTTCAGTCACATCAGCATCACAAACAGCGATGCTTTCCCTGTGTGTCACCTTTCTGGAATAGAGCTCAAAGCCTAGCTCTGCAGATGCTCCTCTTTCTGACCCTTTTGAGCTGTTTTTCAGTGTTGCTCCCTCTTTCTCAGAGCCCTTGTCCCAAACTCCTCCACTTCTGTCTACAGAGGACTCATCTTTCAAGTCCAAAATCAGGGTGCCACGGGCTCCCCAGGCTGGAGCAGTTGATCCTTCCTGCTCTCTCAGCACCAGCCTTGCAGACGAGAGCAGGCAGAGCCCACAGCGGACTTCCTCTACCTCAGCTCCAGGGCTGGAGATCACGTGCGCTTACTTCGATGTCTCCTCCCATTTCCGGTTTCAGGAGAGCACTCCAACTAACACAGATCGAAGGGCCTGACATTTTTATTTTCCTGCACAATCAAACAATTCTCAGGAATGTTCCATCTTGTCAGAACTGTCTAACAAGATAGCCAAAGATGTTGCAAGAATAATTGTTGCCCAAGAGGGTAATTTGCCTCTTTGAAATATCACAGTTGGGCAAAAGCCTTAAAAGCAGTGCAGCTCAGAGTGTTTTCCAGGCACGCCTTGAACAAGCATCCATCCATCCATCCTTCCGTCCATCTCTCCACCCATCCCTCCATCCATCCCTCCATCCATCCACTCACCCATCCATCCATCCATCTATCCATCCATCATTTGCATATCTAGCTCATTCAGGTGTACCTGACAAATAGCCGCCCTTCTGATACCTCCATAAGCTCTGCAGACTTCCTGTGTGTCATCAGCAGCTCCCTAGTTTGACCACCGAGGGATGGGTTCTGCTGCATATCCAGTGAGCCTCCAGAAGGTGTCTGCCCTGCAGAAGCGCTCATCATTCTCCTCTTTCAAATCCTTTCCTCCAGCGACAGCCACCTCCCCTCTTCTGGGCAGGGGGGCCTACCCAGGTTCTGCTGCGACCCTGCTGTCAGTTTCCCAGAGGGCCCCTGGCCCCAGGAGGCGCTTTTAATTGCGTTTGTATTTAGTAGCCTGTTTGATTAGCAAGTACCACCCGAGCGGAGTGGCGTATCTCTTACAATTTAGTGAAAAGGGGTATTTTCCCTTCTTAAGAAAGCAAAAGACAATCAGATAACTGCAGCGCCTCCCCCACTCACCCGCTAGCAGTGTTTTGATTCCCGCAGGCCTCGGTTAACGCCAAGATGGGGGCGGCTTGAAGCGTCTTCCACGGGGCTCTTGCGCCCTCTGCTGGCTGTGCGAGGCTCCGTAATGGACCCCGGAATCCACAGTCCTGGAACCTCGGAGCTGGCCTTCTCTGGCCGCTTCACTCTTCACTCGCCCGAAGACCAAGATGCGGTCATTTCACTTGTCAGTGGAAATTGTACTGTGCTCCAAGAACACAGGCTCAGGTGTGAAGATCACGCTTTTTTGAATATAGCAAACCCTTGGTTTGTGAGCGTTATTCATCCTAGAAACACGCTTGTAATCCAAAGCACTTCTATATCAAAGTGAATTGTGTTAACGAAAGTAGTGCTACACAGTATCTCTCCTCCTCTCGTCTCGATCACACCAGCCACAAAGGTTTTCAAAGGTAAGGACTGTTCAATTTATTTATTTTTTTATATTTTATTTCTTCTTTATTATTTTGTATTATATTACAGCAGGAGCCTCACCAGCACAGCCATACAGGAGGGAATTATGACAAAAACCAGAGCGAAGCTGGACGCAGATTCTCCCTCAGTCTATTCTCCAGGTGAGGACACGGCCCAGGCAACATCTAGATCAGGCCCTTTCCAGACCAAGACGCAGAGGACAGAGCAGAGCTCACCCAGACTGCCAGCCCTGGGAAACTGAGAACAAGTGTGTTGTCTGAAACCACCAAGCTGGTGGTGATTTTAGAACAACAATAAAATATACAACTAAAGAAAGGACTGGTAAACTTGGAACAAAGATAAATTAGCATTGTAAGTACTGGGTGGGCTAGCTCACCAGGTATTTAAACATAACGCCTCTACATCTAAAATTTTGTTCTGGCTCTTGAATTGTCAGCATTTTTGTGGAACAGAATCCAGAATCCAGAACTAAATCCAATTGCAGATGACTTTTAGCAATATGAAAAATGTAGCATCTCAATAATAATATAACTGGGTAGCCATATATTGGAAAAATTAAAATTAGATTATTTACATGATAAATTACAAGTGCATAAAGGTTTAAGTGTAAAAATGAAATTATGCAAGTATGAGAAGGAAAAACTGGTGAATTTTTCAACATTCATCTACGAGAAAAACTTTCCTAAATATGCCTCTATATTACTACAATATTACTATCAATATAATTGATAAATTTTATTAAATAAAAATTTAAGACATTTGTATGTCTGAAAATAATAAACTAGGTGAAAAGCCTGTAACACATTTGCATTGTGTATTATAAGCAATTGTGATTTATTATATAAAGAACTTCTAAGAGGAATAAAAGTCAAAAACGTACAAAGCTGGATTTAGAAATATAAAGTATAAAGAAAACATAATTGTAAATGGCTTTTAAATACATGGAAATATTATTCACTTTGCTAATCATAAAAGAAATAAATTCAAACTACAAGGACTAACAAAATAGGCCATAAGAAGCCAGTCTTCTATTTTGCTTGTAGAAATTTTAAAAATTCAACTACTTTGAAGATACTTGGTAATTAATATCTAAGGAAAGTGCCTCACTTCCAAACCTGAATCTTAACACGTGACTGTTTTTACATTGAAAGAAGGTGTGTGGTTGCCTACTTACATTGCATTTCTGCAGCAAGAGCTGATACAAAGAGTGTTGTTGGTAACAATAAATAATTTGAAATAGCCCAAATATCTTCAAATGGGGAGTCATTGAATAAACTGGAAAAATCACACAAAGGATTATTAAACTTTATAATAAGTATTTTTTGACAGCAAGTACAATTGCCATTTAACTAGATTAATTGAAAATGATTGTGATCAATTATGCCCCTGAGATTCTTTAAATTTTGAAGGATATGAGCATTTAATTTTTCATTAAATCTTTGGCACTCTCCAAGTGAAAATGCTCCAGGTCAGACCTTTGCTGTCAGCCCCAGTGAATCAGGAGCAAAGGGTTCAAACCTGGACTCCTTGCAAAGAGAATCGTGACTCACTGTGGTCCAAGAGTCTCAGAATTGGTCTGTGGCCTTCCCGGCGACCATGAGCACACGAGTGGGGAGGAGCTGGTAGGGTGAGAAGCTGGTGGCAAAGGGCTGCTGGCTTCTCCTGATGGGAGCACGGATGCCAGGACAGAGCAGACCAGGGCTTGGGGAGCCCTGAGCTGTATGGCTTGGTCATCTTTTTCTAACAATTTAGGCCATGACCGAGATAGTCTTGGGAAAGCTCATTTTTTGTCCTGTCAAACAAAGTTAACAGAATGTACAATGAAGGGCTGCTGTGGGGACGAAAGGAAGAAACAAATATAAAAATCTTAGCAGTGCTTGGTCCGTTGTTATCTGCCTCCACTGTGTTTACTGAAGTTTTGCAAACATGAATATGAATGTAGACTCTGAAATCTCCTAGTAATAGTTACATTAAAGATTTTTATTATTAAGATTTTCAAATAAGGGCTGGGGATTTAGCTCAGTGGTTCCCCACCTGCCTCGCAAGTGCAAGGACCCAAGTTCGATCCCCAGTACCAAAAAATAAAAATAAAAGATTTCAAATAAGCTAGCATTAAAAGTGATTATTGTTTCTCATCATAGTGAGAACAAAAATTACAACAAAAATAAAATTTTTGTTTTTTTCAATTTTAACTTTTTATTAGTACATGATTACAGCACAATGATCATATTCCTTGTGGGAAGTTAGTACCTGTGTATAACATATTTTAATTCTCTTTCCCTCTCTTCCCTCACCTCTCCCTCTATCGTGTAGATCCTTTTCCCTTTTGCAAAAGTTCTATCTCCTCATTTCCTTTTATACTTCTTGTTTTTTGCTTTTATTTATAATTTGGTTTCTCCTATGAAAGAAACTATGTGATATTTGAGTTTGGGTGTCTGACTTATTTCTCTGAACACTGTGGTCTCAAAGTGTGTCCGGTTTCCTACCAATGACTTGTGTTTATCCTGTTTATGGCACAGGAGTACTCCACCGTGTGTGAATACCACATTTTCTTCATCCGTTCATCTGTGGGTGGACACACAAATGATACTCCTCCAAGATTCATCTGTTATGAGGTGTGCAGCTCTAAACATGGGTGTGCCTGTGTCACTGCAAGATGATGCCTTTAATTGGTTCAGGGAGATACCGAGAAGGGAAACAGCTGGACTACATACAATGTGTAGTTTCAGTTTTCTGAAGAATCTTCAGACTGATTTCCACAGTCATTGTACTAGTTAACATTCTCAGCAACAATGAAGAGGGATCCCTTTTTCCTGGCAACCTCACCAGAATTTGTTATATGGCTTCTTGATAGCTATTCTTTCGGAGTGAGACAGAATCTTGATGTGGTTTAAATTTGCAAGTCTCTAAAGGCCAGAGACGATGAACATATTTTCACACATGGCATGGCTGGTTGAACTTCTGAGAAATATCTCCTCATTTCAGTTTCCCATTGTTTGATTGGGTCTTATATTTTGAGTGATCTAATTTCTGAGTTCTTAATATATTCTAGATATGAGTCTTCTGTCTGAGAAGCCCACATACATTCAGCTACTTATTCTTTGAGAAAGGAGCCAAAATATGCACTGGAGGAAAGATAGCTTCTTTAATAAATGATACTGGGAAAACTGGCTATCCACACACTGAAGATTGAATCTAGACCCATATCTCTCACCATGTACCAAACTAAAACAAAAATGTAGCAAAGATCTCACTGTTGAAACAAACAATCTGCTGGAAGGCAAAATAGGTAAAGCTCGTGAAGACACAGGTGTAGGTAAGGACTTTTCCCCTAGTTACACAAGAAATCATACCGAGAATCAACAAATGGGATCACATCAGATTTTTAAAAGCTTCTGCACAGCAAAGGAAACCACCAACAGAGTGAAGAGACAAACGTTTTTGAGAATTGATTGACTTTGTTACAAGAGACTCTACAATAAAGGGCTCAGTCATCTAGATTAAGGGCGACTCTTCACTTTGTCTATACTAGGTACACATTTTGGATTTGATTTGCAATCACTCAAACTTTCCTCCTGATAAATGATTGCAAGTCGCTGCCTACTGACAAATGACTTGGGGTGCCCCCGTGGAGGGGGTTTCACTCCTCCATCTGACTGCCCACTGTGGCCGTGTGATTGGCTTTGCAGAATGGCAGCCCAGGAGCTGTGACATAAACACAGCCAAGAAGAAACTGCAAGTGCCACCAAGAAAAGAAAAGAGAAACAAGTGTGGAACTGTGCTTGAATGTAGGCCATCAATTAGAGTAATCGTCCTCAGGACTAGAAAAAAGATTAACTGGAGCAAACTCCCCCTGCATGGGCCAAGCAGCAAATATTTTAGGCTTTTCCGGGACATATAAAATCTCTGTTGCTTCTTTTTCTTTTTACAATGCTTTAAAAGTGAAAACATCACTTTTAACTCACAGGTACTGCAAAAATAAGCCCCTGCTTTAAATTTAAACTCCCCTTTTTATACCACTTAAGTTCCCCAGTGAAGATGTTCCTAGAACAAAATTCACGAATAATTATACGAAAACAAAAAACAAAGACAGTACCTGTCTCAGTCTGTTTGGGTTACCACAGTGAAAATGGCATGAGCACGTGTGTGCCAAAGATGGCTGTTGGCTATCACTGAAAACTCT